TCAGACCAGACAAGACACGGATAAGTTCTACAATGTATTGACTCTATGTGGGTTGGGCTGTTCTCCAAAGCTTTGTAATAAATTTGATGAAATCTACACCTGATCATTTGTGAATCTGTGTTTTTCTCTGACTGATACTGTTTACCCAGAATCCACTGCAGCGAGATACTCTGAGAAAGCCTGAATTGAAAAGAATTTTGAAAACACGCGAGACAGATATCGATCAGGTGAGCATCAGGGGCCACCTAGATGATTTACACAAAGGACTCTGAATTTTTAGCACGCTCCTGTAAACAATGCACAAATCAGAACAACATGGAGTCGCATTGTTATTCGCAGTCATTTACTCCCTGATGTTTCCTACTTTATTATATTTGTTACCATGAGGCGCAGCAGCTAAATGTTGGTTTAATCAATGAGTGGGGAAAAAAATGAATGTTTGTTTCAGTGTTTTGCGTCATGAAACATCTTCTCACACAAACATCAGGTAGCATTGATATGTCATGGAAAAAAAGTAATGGTTAATAAAATCTACACAGTTTAAGTACAAGTTAAAAAGTTGCAAGTAGGAATCCAGGCAGCTCTTTGTAATGTCAACTTTTCATTAAAAAACATAGATTGATTTCTATTTAAATGAAATATGTCACATTTGCATTGAGAAGCACTTCCACAGTTATTTTACATACACAATTTTAAAAATACTTTTTGTCAGTTATACAGGATGTTTTTTTCGATTTTGGGTTGAGAACAAGCCAATTGATCAACAAGACAAAAAGCTGTTTTGCTGCTTCTATACAGCAAATAAACTCATCTTTCTGAAATCTTGCAAACCAAAATTTTATTGATTTGTGTAATTTGACTGATTTACAATGAAGGTGTTGGAGAATTTTTGATCAAGTGTTACTAATGTTTTTATTACATTTTATTTTTGTGACTGAGAACACCTGCCATGAGAACAGGCAGCTCGTCTGTCTCCCAAAACACTCGTAATGTCTCTTTGATGCCCATGAATCACTTTTGTGCAGACAGTATGTTGATGTGAGCAGTAGCTGGCTTCAAAGAACGGCCATTGAACTTCACTGAGATGCTAATGTTGTAAAAAAAAGTCAGCAGAGGACACTGTTCAAGGCTGGGAGCAGATACAGTGAAAACAGAAGTGGTCCAAGAATGGAGCCTTGTAGGACCCCGCAGGAAAAAGTGACAGATGCAGATAGATGATTACCAAAATTGACACAAACAGTTGTCACTCAGATATGAACAGAACCTTAGATAGAGAACTTCACTAATTGGCTTTTCTATGTATGTGAATGTTTCTGTTCAGTGCCCTGAGGCAACTTTGTTGTGAACTGGCACTACATAAATAAACTAAATTGATTATAAGACAATGTTTCCATGCGTTTATGTATAACCTGCCCTGATTGAGTCCTTGCAAGTAAACAAGCTGGTTAAAAATCTTCACTTGCCGAGAGCGTGGATATTTTGAGAAAACGTTAGTGAATGAGATACTTTTTCTAACAGTACAGTAGGAAATGCACATTAATCCCTGTAAGATCTAATTATCCCTTGATGCAGTAATTGAGACTCAAACAAAGTACTCCACACCATAATTTAATTAAACCAACCACAGACTAGTAAAAAGAGAGCAAAGGCAATTTGCACTGAATGAAAAAAAAAAACTCATGTAGCAACGGGAAGTTTTTTTTTCTTTTGCCGTTAGCTCAAATAATTATTTGTTTACAGTCAAATTATAAGACCTTGATGAGTGTGCGAGGTGCTCTACACATCATTAAAGAAACAATCTTTCGGTATAAGTTCACGTGTCTTGCAGCAAACAGATGAGACAAGTAGCAGTCAAGTTTGACTTTTTACATGAGCAAACCCAAACATGTTTTCTAGATAAAAACCGAGGAGCTTTAGAGCCATTTAAGAAGTTTCAACAGATTTGATTAGAGCCGCTTCAAGGTAAGAAACATTAAATCAGTCACTGACGACAACATGAACATTGGTCATTTCAATTTGAATACGGGGCTGCGACAAAAATAAAACCAGATTAGACAAAAACAGTGGAAATAATAAGAACAAAGCCCTAACACGATGGGTCTTCCAGTGTTTCTGTAGGTGGCTGCCAGAAATGTCAAAATAAATATCAGTAATAAGAGAAAACTGTCCTTCATGCAGACAGGGTAAGACTTTTCATCCTGAGATGTCGGCACTGACAAATGTCCTTTTGCAATTCTCAGTATTCTGATCATAAAACTCGTCTTTTTCTTAGCTTTTGCATGAAAAATAATTTTTCCAGAGTGTGAGAAAGTATCAAAACTTTGAAAATCCAATCTGATTTCCTGCAAAGGTTAAGGACTTACAGAAAAAATTACATTTGGGTGATAGTTTCCCATGCTTAAAAAAATAAACCAAATCAAACAAGAGTTTTTCTCATGTCCCTCATTTTTATCATACACTTATCACCATGAGGGTTGTCAAGAAATGCCAAGATGCAAAAAAATAACAGAAACACTGAGATAAAATCGGTCTAATTTACATTTTGTTACAACATAACTGAGAAATATGACATTGTCCATAAAGACACAACATCATTATTATTCTGCCCACTGTTGAATCTGTTTTTATGCACTCAATACCGTATTTTTTGCCATAAACGTTGCACCACCCTATATGTCGCATCAGTCCAAATATGTCTAATAAAGTGGAAAAATCCATAAATACGTTGCTTCGCCGTATACATTGCATCTATTATGGTCACCGCTGACGCGTCGCGTTTGTTTCACTTCACCACTGATAACCCAGAAATGTGGGCCGGACCCGGAAATGTGGGCCGGTGTTGTGCCAAAAATTGATTGGCTGCCAAATGACGGCCACGGGGTCATGTACGGGAGGACTTTAACAAGAATTTAACAAGACTTAAAAACAATTACTTGTTTGCTTGAAATTATAGCAAAGGTGTGTCTCAGTCTAACTTTTCCTTAATAAATGTACTTTGACGGTCAAATCAGCTGCATTTTCAAAAGTCGATACGCGGAAACAGGAACACGCAGAGGGTGACTTGCTGTGCATTTCTTCTAAATTTAACAAAATAACCACCTAAAACAATTATTTGTTAGCTCAATTTTATGGTAAAGGTGTGTCTCAGTTGAACTTTTGCTTAATAAATGCACTTTAATGGTAAAATTAGCTGCATTTCACCAGAGTGGCGCAGCAAAATGAAGCTGATTTGACAGTTGCTCCAGGTAGACAATGGTGGTACGCTATGGCAAGAAGATTGTGTCATTAATAGCCACTTTTGCCTATTACATGATACAACGGCATGCCGTATTACTCGAGTGCCATCTAGCGGCTGAAAATGGTAGTGATCATTATTTTCAGTCAGAATTAATGAAAACGGTCATATCTCAGCCAAAATTTGGTTTATAAATATGGGAAAAGTCCATAAATAAGTCGCTTCGGCCTATAAGTTGCAGAACATGCAAATTATGCAAAAAACTGTGACTTATAAAGTGGAAAATATGGTAACTGAAAACTGAGAGTTTATGGTAAAACAATCAAGTTATAATATGAAACCCTGTTTGAAGCTCTGGTCGAACTTTTCGAAACTCATCAAAATACGTTAAACTAACAACATTTATTAGCAGGAGCTAATCCAAGAACTGAAATGATGTTTCGTGTAATTCACATGCATTTGTTAAGAAATCACAAGAAATAAAAGTTTGGTCCTGATTTTTCAAACAGGGCACAACTAATACAAACAACAAAGGGTGATCTGGTTATTGTTGTATTAAAATCCATTTTTAAAACTTGTAACATGTAAGAAAAGAAGTTACATTGTGTGTTGGTGAACAATCAGCAGGATGAAATGCCAGAAGCGCAGTAGCATAAAGGCACTGTTATCTTTACAAACCAACGCAAGTCTGAAATAAGTCACAGCCTTATCACTGGCCTTTTTTTTTTCAGATAAAAATACAAGCATCTTAACAACTACAAATAAAACATAATCAAGTTTTGACATGAGAAGGTCGACCTACAAACACCAATAAATAATGAAATCGATCAGAAGGAACATCCACAGGAGTTCAAACTGAAAGTCAAACCAAGTGCAAATGTCAGTCAGCAGTGAGGACACTGGGGACAAACTTATTTTGTTCATACAGCGCCAAAAGGGTTGAAACATTCACGCAACACATACACTCACAGCAAGCTCCCATAACACCCAGGAACTGAGTTACAGGAAAAATGATAAAAATAAAACCACACAGATTAAAAAAAATACAGAAAATATTGAAATCAATAAGCACAAAGTGAACACAAAAGGTCAAAACATACTGCGTAAGAAGCTGCTGCTAGGTGCTAGTTAGCTTAGCCTGATGCTAACCTCAACTGTCTGAAAACAATCTGTCTTTGAACACATAAATGATGAATCATGTTTGTTTAATGTGTAAAGATAGCTTAAATAAATCGTAAGAGTATTTACAGTAGACATCTTTTGTTTTAGGACAAGCCATATATTCAGTCAGCCTTGATGCTAAGCTAACACTCATTATTCGTTCTTCAATAAGTCAAAATGTGGTTTTGTAGAGTTTTATTACAGCTACTCTGTGAAGGAGAACTCTGCATTTTAATCATCTGTTTATCCTTGAGGAGCTCAAAGAAAATATGAAATATTTTCAGCATGCAACTGTATTTAAAGTAAGTTATGTTTTTTTTTCTGTGTGGAAGGCTTTTTTGACTAAAGTATTTTTTTGGGGGGGTGGACAGATAAAATGCACTTTAAGACAAAATCGATCAAATAAGATGGAACATATTGCTTTTGGAGCTCACAAGAAAAATCACTTTATCTTTGTCTTTGATCATATCCTCATATTTGCCTAAAAAAACAAAATCACATGCTCATAATTGCAGCTTCTGTCAATCAAGACATATTACTATTATGCCTGTTAGGTGCAATTAGGCAGAAAATTATGCAGAAATGAAAGCTGACAAAAATGGTCTTTTTTTTTTTTTTTTTTTTTTTTTTTAGAGAAAACTGGGATTAGGCACCAAGCTCACTTAAAGTTTAAAGCCAAATATGTACAAAGTATATAGATAAATACTGTATACATAAACAAAGACACTTGTTTCACAGCTGTTTGTTGAAAAAAAAAAGTATAGCAAAGGCTTGTGTGAAATGTTACATAAAGGAATGTTATTTGGTCACGCCAAACTCAGTGCACATGGACGTTTGTTTATCCTCAAAACAACCAAACATCACTTAAACTCAATTAACAGAAAAGAAAAATAATCTCTGTGCTTAGTTCCACTTGTTCGTTTTGATCCACAACCAGCTACGACCAGGAAGTTAAACAATCGTGGTCCAAGAAAGGGTTTGGTTTGTTCTGCTTGAATTTTATACACATTTAAATTTGTACACAGATGATGGATACTTCACACCCGGATGCAAAGAGGACATTGGATTGCAGCTTCTCTAGTAGATGACTTCATAGACAGTTGCTTTTTTGTCCCCTGAGCCCGTCACAATGTACTTATCATCTATGGAGATGTCGCAGCTCAACACTGAGGATGACTCCTTTGACTGTAAGGGGGGAAAAATGAGCGCAACAGTTTTAAAAACTGGGGGGGAAATAGCATTATGCATGTGATAGAGCTGTATTCAACACATGCAGTTCTCCTAATCTGGAAAAAAAAAATATATACATACATACATACATATATATATATATATATATATATATATAGTATTCCTCCTGATGATACAAACTGGACAGTGTTTGACCTTTTCAGCTGCCAAAAATTTAGTTTTAATGTTTTAATTCTTAGTGCACACTCTTCCTCAACTCACCTGAAAAATGCTGGCTCCATATGGGGTTCTCCATGCGTTGAGCAGATTGTCTTTTCCTGTGCTCACAAACCATTTTCCTGCACGGAACAGAAAGATCACTTTGTACACATCACAGAAACGTGTCTGTCTGTAAATCATTTACACTAGATTACATGTAGTCACAATACTCATCACTTAGTGTTATAAACACCTCCAAAATAGTCATCCTCACTACATCATTATATAACTGAAAGAGGTGAAAGATTTAGTAATCACAATATTGTCAAATATAGCTCCAGAAATTACAAACTTCAATCACAAAAAATGTAAACAAAGTGACTGGACCTACAATTGAAACCATTGAGTAAATGATGCTAATGATTACTGGCTTCTTCACATCTGTAGCTCCTATAGTTTGTTGAGAAAAAAAAAAAATTCTTAATGAAACAAGTAAAATCCTAGTAAAGTAGTCCCTCGTTTATCGTGGGGGATCCGTACCCTGAAGCCCCGCAATAAGTGAAAAACCACGAAGTAGGAATAGTAGTACAAGTA